GAATTGTCAGATATCCTGTCACAGTCTCACACAACAACTTTTGGTCTTGGAAGGAATAATTAGTGAGCAGAAATTCGGCCGTGTATCTGTTATCACTCGTCACATCAGTCAGTTATATAGAGGTATGACTCGTGTTTTCCTTTGGCGTTCGTCACTTCCGATTCAGGAAACCTGTATTACTCAGCTATCGTAGCAATGATCTCCGTGTTAAAATTATACTTAGAACGTGTTTAATTTATTTCTATCACATATGTGATAATGACTGACACCAATATTGTCCTTTAATTTTAAAATTACATGAATAGAAGTTAGAAATTACATGAATAGAAGTTAAAAATTACATGAATAGAAGTTAGACGGCAGCGCGTTATAATTTTGAATCTAATATACCGCCATATCCGTGACAAAGGCCGAAAATGCTAACAAAACGGATGGGGGAAATCACTTCATAACTTGTTAACAACCACCACCCGAAAATCCGCCAATGATACAAGACTATACGTTGTTCCTTGAAGGGCCAGGCCCTCCATCCTGCACCGCTGACAAGGGGGAACCACGACGGAAAATCCGATGAACTTTCTTGGCCAACACCGGGACCGAACACGGGACTTCCAATGTGACACTACGCTGTGTCTGAGTAGGACTTAGGTCTGTGACTCTACGCTATGTCTGAGTATCACTTTACACTGTGATCAATTAACTCTGGAGTGCTATGTTTATACATCAAATATAGGAAACTACAACATCTATGATAGTACATTAGGAGTTGTTTCTATCCTAGTCTCAAACTAGAGGCTGAGAGTACGCCCGAGGAACCCTGCATGATGTCGGTATCCCGGCCTGTAAGCCGAGGCAGCTAACTGTATATATTCCTAGGAAGCCCACATGATATACCCTCCCCCCCCCACCCTCTAGGATCTCTGAATGATGTCTAAAGTGAAATTTAAACATGCATTATGCAAGAGCTAAATCTGCCTATTGCAGGACTTTCTTTAGGCCTGAAATGTTATTTAAACTATTAATTAGACATTAATTAACCTATCCAGACCATAATCAACTCTAGATGGCATCGCTAGCCTGCTATCTTTAGTGGATTATGAGCCGATTTACTGCATGACTTCCCTTCACGATTTAACGATTAAGTGGATAATGGAGACTATGTTGTTTATCGTACTGACTTTAGTAATGATGATCAAGGCTAGTCGGAAATTTCAACCGCTTAGCTCTCGGCTCATAGTGGATCAATTTGAATGAAATTTTCAGCAAATTGCCTTTACATTATCTAGGTTTTAACTATTATAGTGAGAACTGCCAACTCGTTATCGAATCTCCCATAATGTATCTTTAACCTCGCTCTTTCTTATATAATACAATATAGATGTGTCAGCTATTAGGGCGAGGCAATTACCATTTTTGGGGTGTTTCGTATGATCACCGCTTTACGTCAACATTATTCTATTTAATTGGACTAATCTGTGCACGAGATGACTGGGCGATAGTACACAAGTTTATGTCAATTCCCATATCTACAGTGGAGCTTATTTACTATTAATCAGTGAACCAATAATTCTTCTATTGTCTGCTGTAATTTATGTTGATTATTGTTTACCGAAAGAATAATATTACCAACCAACAAGAGTCATGTCGTCATTTAATCAACAACGAAGATTCCAGAAAATACACAAGAATTGCACTTGTATTACAACACACCTCTTTGCAATGCGTTAAATAAGCACGTTGCTTAATTAACGTCTATTATTTCACATGCAATAAATACAATACAATATAATAAATAAGTTTCACTGTTCTTTTTTTCACTTTAAATTTTTTGATCCGTGAACGCTTCTTCCAATTTCTCTCCATAACCATATTATCTGCCTGTATGCCGGAATTCCTCTGTTTGGTTCTTTTTTGCTGTTCGTTATAGTACCGTACATTAGATCCCACTATTAATTATATTTCTTTACCCTTTATTCCTAACCTTTTTTAAATATTAATTGAATACTATTTTATCTTAATCTTATTCGTACCGTAAAATCCTATTTAAAATTAAACTTGTATTTACTTCCTTGTGAATACACCCATGTTAATCCATATTTCTATTTACTTTTAAATATACTAAACAGCAAAATAAACGTCAAAACGTCAGTACGATTTCAAAATCAGAGGCACTTTAATCAAATCATTCTAGAAAACGACTTATTAAATGGATCAAAGGAATTTTTTGTGAACAGTATGTTGACACATTAGTGATTAATTAATCCAAATTCCAAGACATTACGAGAAGGTTTAGATTCTGTACACAGTCGATACATCTGTATCTGGTGTGTCCACCGCGAGTGTCAATAACAGCAGCGCAGCGTCTGTACATGGAATGGACCAGACGATTGATGAACACCATTGACACCTGGAACCACACTCCCAGAAAAGCCTGGCGCAACCCATCGACTGTGTTTGGTCCCGGTACGACGTTATTAAGCCTCCTCTTAATTTCATCCCAAAGATGTTCAATTGGGTTTAAGTCCTGACTAAGGGCTGGCCAGTGCATAACGTTAACACCCGTCTGCTGTAGAAAGTCCCGAGTAACTCTGGCCGTGTGGACAACGTTGTTTCGATGACGTGCGAAATGTGGTATGACGTGGGGTCTGAGAGCTTCATCGATGTAGCGCACTGCTGTGATGCCACCTCCTCTCCCTGGACCAAGATTTTGGAACACCACAAGACCCACTCTCTGGTTCAGGCCGATTCTACCCCAAACCATTATTCTCGGACCTCCCCATGAGTCCCGTTCCATGACACATTGGTCAGAATAACGCTGGCCACGTCGACGCCATATTCCTAATCTCATCTGTGAACAGAACAGTTTTCCATTGCCTGTGTCGCCTAGGTCATTTCGGGACTAACATATGGTTTATTTTTTTATTTTAATAATTCGCTTGTGCGTTGGGGTCTTTAGCAGTGGGAGGAAACCGCAGGACCCGGAAAAAACCCACGAGGTTGGACAGGCGACCATACTTGTCACGTACAACCGGGGATTCGAAACCACGCAAACCATATCATGTTCGATGTTGTTTTCAATTTTAACACTCCGCCAAACCATTCAACCTGACGAAGAGAGAGTCGTTTGTTTCAACATAATGGTCCTGATCAGGTGCTCAATTGCAAAATTGATGGCTGCTAGGTAGAAGCATCAAAATTCTAAATTTGTTCGACGTTCATATTTAACATGTAAAGCGAAAATGAAGAAATAAGATGAAACAGAATTAAAATTTACACTGAAGAAATAAAGAAGTTGGATTATACAGTGTCTTAATTTAGAAATTACATGAATAAAACTTAGAAATTACATGAATAAAACTTTTGCAAAATTGATGGCTGCTAGGTAGAAGCATCAAAATTCTAAATTTGTTCGACGTTCATGCTTAACATGTAAAGCGAAAATGAAGAAATAAGATGAAACAGAATTAAAATTTACACTGAAAAAATAAAGAAGTTGGATTATACAGTGTCTTAATTTAGAAATTACATGAATAAAACTTTGAAATTACATGAATAAAACTTAGAAATTAGACGATAACATGTTACAATTTTTAATCTAATATACCTCCATTCACAGACAGGTTTAGCAGGCATTTATTCTTCATAGCCTCTCTGTTGTTACTGCACAATTTGTCATCAATCGTTGCGGCTTCCAGCGCCTTTGCTGCTAGCGTGTCTAAAATCATTACGCCTGTCAGTTCTAGCACTTTTGTTGTGAAGAAACACTTTCTAAAATTATTTTTATAAACAATATTATCATCGGGATTGTTACGCGTAGGTGCATTGTATTCCGTGCTTAAATCACTTACAATCCAATGAAAAACTCATCTTGAAAACGTTGCGAGATAAACATTTTCGAGCTTTATTAACGACGAAATTTTTCTAATATAAAAAAATAAATATATACCCTTCAAAATAAGTAGGGGATATTCAGAAACAATACAAAACTGCGTAAATGCACTGCTGTTTTTATTAGAGGTCACCAGTGTATGTTAATAACAGGCCAATTGCCTACACATGAACATAAACAGTTCATATGGGCGGTTTTCACTCGCAAAGAGATACAATCTGTCGTGGCATGCTCCTAATCTACCGTCTAATCACGATTTGGGCCAATCTGACCAACTCCTCTTGCAGCGCCACGGCGAATTCTTGCAGTGTTGTCGATTAACGTTGACATCGACGAACATGTCTCCTGATCAAATTAAACGTAACACACTAAATCGAAAATACGCTAAACAGTAAATCTTATGCAAGAACCGATGGGAAAGCAAACATGGATAGATAAACCAGTACGCGGCAGTTTCACCAACCCTTCCTTGAAGTGTCAAATTTGACAATGAACCCCTCCCACGTGTGTGGCGCGATTGGGTGTCGCATGTGCAGCTCAGTGGTTCTGTTGGGGCAATAAGTTCTTCATATGTGAACATACTCTCAAAGCCTATCAAGTGTCCATGACTATTTATCATACCACAACCTGCATAGGTATTTGCATTTCAATATCCCTACTTTCTTTTAAGAGTATATTATATGGACAATTCTCTACTAGGCACCAAACACCAACATAGTCATAAAATATGGCGTTGGAAGAGACGGGCAACTCTGACTATACCCGAAAGTTTGGTAGATGACTGTTGGTACCGATGAAAGATCACCAATATGGTCGTTATATCACATCATGGCGGCTGTGAACTATCAGTCTCCCAATGGCATGTCGAAACATCACAGTGGTATGTTTTTCATCAAAGTCAATTCTCGTGAGTGTTTTTTAGTGCGAGTAACAACCACCCCGAAAAAGCATCCAAAGCATTTTATCTCCTTCGTACAATTTTTGTTATTGCGACAGAATCACGGGGACAGCGGGGTCAAGTGTCCCTGTTTCTCTCACAATACCAGGGAACCATATATGCATGCAATCCAAATGACAATATTTTTTATTTATTACAAAGCATTTACATAGATTTGTCTTCACGGATGCGCTTATCAAACAAGAGAATATTATTTTAAAAGATGAACGATATACAAAACATAAAATATAACATAGTTACAACTAAATGAATATCAGTTCAAACAAAGCCTGTAACAATAAACTAGTTGATACTGCTATTATCGTGGTCTTGTTGTCGTCATCAGGCGACGGGCGCTTGTCACTACTGACCATCTTTATTGACCAGGTCCTGAAATAGATCTTGGAGTAGTTTTCTTCAGACAAATTTTAACACTGAAATTTTGGTTTTTACAAACAACAGTCCAAATCGGCATAATTTTCCAGAACAATTACTCTCGCCAAGTTACCAATTTCAAAGAATTCGCATGCTTCTGATGTGTGCCGACTTTCCAGAATGGTTTTCATAACAGAATGGTTTTATCGACGCCTAAAATTTCAATGCAATCCCAAGAGTAGTTGCTGCGATATACAGAGTTTTAAAGTAGGTAATAATCTGAACAAAAAAGAAAATTTAGCGTATGGAGATCTTTGTTATGATTTATCCGTATTCACGATTAGAAGATTTCAGAAGTAACGCATAAAGGTAAATCAGTTGCTTTACATAGCTTAGACATTGAATTGAAAAATATATAGATAAATTGCTCATTATAGTGACACGAATATAGATGTCCTTAAAACACATATATACACATTATAAACCAATCTGATTGGGGATTATACATTTCTGTTATATCTGCTATCGTTTGATCCAGCGGCTACACAGATCTACCGGCCTATCCAGCCTCTACTAATAAAGTCGTCGTATTTCGGGATCTTTCTGTCCGAAAGTAAATAATTGATATCTGTCGAATTGTTCCCAAATCCCCAAACCGTGGCCACGGTTCACCGACAGTAATGACCTCTGTGTTAAACTTATATTGAAATCTGTATAACCAAATTTATCACTTATGTAAAATTATTGGACGCAAATATTGTCCTTTAATTGTGATGAGTTTCACAGGGTTTTAAAATACACATATCTTCAATGTATAGTAGGCTAGTGCTACTCAGGTTCAATTGAAATAAAATATAATGAGCGTAAATTATTCCCTTTGATTTAATGTTCACCGGTTTAATATAAGGTTTATATCCTCAGGTACCGCTACTTCTAGGTGGATATTGCAGTTTAACCCTATCACGTCTGTGAGATCGTACATTATGGCACATAAGCAAACGCGTGGCTTTGCGGAAAGACGCGTTTGTGACCGCATATATAAGAACGTTCCAGGCACTGTTACTTATTGCTAACCATGTCAAGGCAAAATCCAGGTTCACAGGTATGACAACTCGAGCTAGCGAAGCAAGTAGTTGAGTTATTGTCCATGGTGTTACTGCTACAAAGAATCCTACAGTTATTAATCCTAGTGTCTTTGTAGCTCGGAAATGTAATAAATTCTGAGACCGCCTACCTCTCGTCTGCAAGTAAAAAATACAGCTAATTAGATTATGGATGTAATAAGTTTCTCTAAATACATTGAAATGCAACGAATTAAGTTGCACAACCACCATGTTATATTTATAGCACGGCTTTCATCAGTTAACAGGTTTAAACATCGAGACTGGTCGAGATGTTAAAGCTGTTAACGAATGAAGCGTACTATAAATGACTTGTAACATTGAAACCTGCTCAACATGCTTGTTGTCATTGCACAGAAAACTCACCCCACTTCTCTATATTAGAGCAGGAGCCCAGGGGGTTAACCTAGCTGAAAAGTCTACCAATTTTCTCCTATATGGTATCAATGTATGTATATCTGGTATCATCAGAATGTAAGTCTGCCGGGTTTCTGGTGGTGGGTGTGGTTTTCCACGACCAAAATGCCATGCCCCCCAACTAGTCTAGATTAGCTCAAAAGTGTACCACATGAAAATCGCACAGCAATGTACCATACATCTTCAGGTATTACAAAAACACTCTGACAGACATTTCTAGTGGTGGGGTACCCCTGACAGAGCTATGTAATTGCCAGGCATTTGTAGTTTGGAGTATCCCTGACAAGAGTTATCTAATTTCCAGACCAAAGCTAGGCTAGATTAGCTGAAATCTGTACCACCTAAAACAGCTTTGCAGTTGTTCAGTACCACCACAGGAATTATGAATGACCACTGCCAGACAGTTTGTGCGGTGGGTTGCCCCTAACAGACACGCCCAAAATAACACGACCCCCAACTAGGATAGATTAGCCGGCACTGTTCCTGTGGTCCAAAAAATTAAAAATTGTGCCAGGATGCGTAGAATACTAATACCTAGCACACATGGAAGAGGCGATAAACTGTGGTTGTAGGAACAATTTTATTTTTCAAAAACGCATTTTTAGCCCTATAAAATGTTTTTTGCCCAAAAATCAATTCCTTGCAATCGCAGTTTATCGCATCTTCCATACGTGCTAGGTATTAGTATCCTACGCATCCTGGGTAAAAATCTATTTTTTTAGAACACGGGAACAGTGCCTGCGAAGCTAGCCTAGTTGGGGGCGTGGCATTTTGGGGCGTGTCTGTTAGGGGTAACCCACCGCACAAACTGTCTGGCAGTGGTCATTCATGACTCCTGTGGTGGTACTGAACAACTCCAAAGCTGTTTAGGTGGTACAGATTTCAGCTAATCTAGCCTAGCTTTGGTCTAAATATTAGATAACTCTTGTCAAGGATACTCCACCACTACAAATGTCTGGCAATTACATAGCTCTGTCAAGGGTACCACCACTAGAAATGTCTGTCAGAGTGTTTTTGTAATACCTGAAGATGTACGGTACACTGCAGTAAGATTTTCGTGTGGTACACTTTTGAGCTAATCTAGCCTAGTTGGGGATCATGGCATTTAGGGCGTGGAATACCACACCCACCACCAGAAATCCGACAGACTTACATTCTGATGATACCAGATATACATACATTGATACCATATAGGAGAAAATTGGTACACTTTTCAGCTAGGTTGACCCCCTGGGCCCCCGGTCTATATGATTTATACTAAAACTAGTGTAAACCAGCAAAAGAGTCCAATAACATTGAACATGTCTAGTTATTGTACGGTTATGCTCCACTCAATCTACTAGAGGGAAAACATTCTGCTTATTCAACGAAAAGAACAAAGGGAGATTTCCCGTCCATGTTACAAATATTGTTAAGTGGTGAATATGTAGGAGTATTACTCAGTTATTTATACCATCAGCACCCCTATTTAATCCCAGCTGGGAGCACCGCAATGGATGTGTTTAATGTCGCTCGGTGATGCATTGGGAGCTAGTCAGATATGTCTGACCCTTTCTCTAGCCAGGAACCTTTAGGGTATGTATCGACCTTGCATAGTGTAAGGCTTTATCTTTGCCAAGAAATGGTTGACGTATCATATACACAACGCCCTCACGAAACAGGTTAAAGAGCGAGAGCCGGAGACAGCCTTTTAAGGTTACCTTGTCCATCTAAATTAATACTACCTTAGCAACAGTTAAGTAGTTTGGGTAATTTGGAACTTTTTATAAAGGTAACAAAGGACAAATATTATAGAGTTATGTCCCTTTATACACAACTGATCAAATCGCAGACGTATTACAATTTCCGATGATCGACGTTTGGTCGATGAAGGGATTCGACGCCATTATCGATGTATGCTTTACCGTCCTTCAAATCATCAATTTGGCATCAATTCCAAACCCAAAACTAGCAATAATTAACACGCAAAATGTGGTAAAAGGAAAAGAATAAGCTATATTATAGGTGGAATTGCATTTGTGGGCCATTCCGTATAAAATCAACCAATGAGGTAAATCGCACTCATTTCGATTTATAGACTTATTTTGGCTAAAAAAAGGCGAATATTCCTTTTCGGTAAGGTCAAGGTAATAGTCAAGCGGTCATAATTCTTTAAGTCAAAAATAATGGCAGATTTGGAAATCTTATGGAATTATCTTTCCAGAAAAAAACAATTTTGAGCTAATTTGAAAATTGGCAGCTTTGCCCATTTTGGTCGAAATTCCGGAAACTGAATCGAAGATATTTCAAGGACGGATCAAGCTAAAATTCGGAAAAAAGGCATAAAACCATATTTTAGCAAAATCCAAAAGGATACGGTTTACTATGTCCATTTTGGTCGTGAATTGACACGGAATGCCCATGTAACCGAAATAAGCGAAAACAATTGGAGGTCTACTAAGTTACTTGACAAATACCTATGCAACGATGACAATTTTAACCAGATTAAGCTTTTAGTGACAGAAGTAATAATTCCGCAATTTGGAAAGAGTTCCTCCTTTGTTTTTGTGGGATGTGGCTTCTGTCAACTCTTTGAATACTCGACGCTAAATTTCGACAGGGTTTCTTCCTGATGACACTAGTTCGATAATCCATCTGTAAGTTTACCCTCCACCCCTTTCTGCCACAGGCACTTGAAGGGATTAAAATAAAACTTCTTACTACTCTTTGATTATATATTACACTTATTACTGTAATATATAGTCAAAGAGTAGTATGAAGTTTTATTTTAATTCCTTCAAGTGCCTGTGCTTTCTGCAGAGGCTTGAGTGACATTATACTATATATCTCATCACAAGAAACACATGGATGCCTATTGTGTGGTGGAGGTTACTAGCAATATTTCAATATTCGCAAATATCGATATGGCTCATTATTTGCTAATGAATCATCAAAATTAAATAAGGATTTCTCATCTCACTATGAAGACCACTTTTGTTATTTTGAAGGAGCCAGAAAAGCATGGTATACACAATGGTTTGCTACAACAAGTGTTGTAAAAACAAAAACTCGTGAAAGAATTGTTATACGCCCCTGTCTATCCGTCCGTGGGTCCATTCACATTTGTTTGTGGACACTCTACAGGTCACAATTTTTATCCGATTTTGACATATAGGTTTATATCCCAAAGATCATGGTTCCTTTCGATATTGCCATGTATCGGACCTCAATTTCATGGATTATGGTCCCTGATGATACGAAAATCGTGTTTTTAGCTTGTGGCCTCTCCAGTGGACACTCTAGAGGCCACAATTTTTATCCGATTTTATGAAACTTGCAAAATATGTGTATACCCCACAGATCTTGGTTCCTTTCGATATTTGAGCATATGGAACCCTAACTTCATGTAGCCCCTGATTGAACGAAAAATCATGCTTTTAGCTTGTGGTCCCTCTAGAGGTCACATTTTTTTCCGATTTGAAAAACTGATAGAATAGTTACACCATAATGAAGGTTGGCAAAATGGCCACACCTTGTACACAAATAGTGTAAAAGTAAAGAATGTCACAATCTTGATCCTATTTGATGAAACTTTAAAAAAATATGTTTATATCCCAAATATCACTGTTTCTTTTGATATTTGTGCATATCGGAACGTAACCTCCTGGACTATAGTCCCCGATAGTTCGAAAAATCGTTTCTTTTTTTTATGTGTACAACTCTTGCAAAACGTGGGCGTACCTTGCATGGCAACCGCTTGTTTCAATAAAGGTTGAATTACTAATCCTAGTAAATTAATTAATTCACCAAGGTTTGACATAATATTACCCTTTAGTGAAAATAATTTTCACAGGGGCAATTTTGCAACCCTTAGTGAATTGAGTCTGTATGCTATCATTCGTTCGCATGCATCACGCTGCTGTTCTTTAACACAGGGACCATACATTATTTTAATGATCATTACAGAATACATCTAACTTACGAACTAATTTTATTGACACAGTATATAAGTTATTGGCTGTTTGGGTATTTGTAGCCATCCCCATTAAGAAAAAGAGACAAATATTGGGGTAATAACAGATGACACTGTAAAGTTTTGTCACCGTGAAAATCGAGTGGTTAAAAACACACATAAATAATTTGTCACATCCTTTTAAATAACAGTCGCATGAACATGAAGTAGATTGTGGCTATCAACTAAATATTGATAAAACCCTTGTGTGGTGTTGATGAAATAATTGCAATTCTTTCACTAGAACTGATATTTCATCTCCTAGTTTTTTTGGTTGCAACATACCAGCACCACCCGGGCAACATTACTTTGACTTGGTGTGCAATAGTGCATTTTCAGCACAAGTAACAGTAATGAGAGTTCGTTTGGGGAAAAGGATGTTATCATCGATATTTTTAAGTGATATCAAGTGATGGGCCACCTTCGCTGAATTCGATGAAGATTTTTAAGGTAATTATGAAACATTTTAGCAACTTTCCACAGTGGAACGCTGATGTTCGAGCTTATGAATAGTCCCTAAAATGTTGGCCGACAGATTTTGGTGATTTGGGACGAGTGGTGGGCCAGATTGGCGGAATATGTAAATGAAATTGTCCTACATACAGCCCCCTTCCCCTGATCACTCCAGTCATACGGAGTACCTTTGCCTATCGGTCTGTCAGTCCTAAATCCATAAGCCTACGTAAATTGGAAGAAATGGTAAGGAATTTTATTGGATTTTTATCCTTTTTATCAGATTGGTGTTTATGTACATGTATTAATGATAGCCTATCAATTAAAATTTGTAGTTGGACTAACCTGGGCCGTGGAATGAGATCTTGATCGTTGTTTGCTTCTTTGATATAAGGCAATATGAAATACTTTACTATAACAAAATATCATAATAATTCCAGGAAGTAGATAAAATAGTAACATCACAGCTAGGGTCATATTACTATTATCATATAGCGGTTCGCAATTTACCCCTATAACATCATAGTAATATTGATCATATACGAACACAACAATGCTATAGACAATAAAACATCCAAACCACGTACACACAATAGCTGCTGTCACGGTAGAACGTTTTATAATTGACGGATAACGTAACGGGAACGATATAGAGATGTACCGATCTACTGCAATTAATGTCAGCGATAACGTTGATTCATGGAATAAACTAGAGAGAAGCACTGCTTGTACCTTACACATAAATTGACCAAATGGCCAACAAGAAAACAGTGCTGGATAAATACACAACGATGTCACCAGAATTCCCATACTGCAATCTGTACAGGCTAACGACGTCATCAACATTCGCGACGTCTCCAGAAAATAGCCTCGACTTCGTGGAGCATTCAACACACAAAGACACAAAACGTTACCGGCAATAATGAATATACTTGTCAAAGAAATGGCTATCGCTTTCGCAATGGCGGATGAATCTGGTAAAGTGACCCCATTTTGGCACGTTGAATGTTCATCTAACATTATGGGATGTTTTTCGATGTTTTCTGTAGAGTAATTATTAAAAACAACCATTGTGTCTTACGAGAGCCCAGATCGACATACATTCATCGTGATGCCGTAGGCGTACAAGCTGGTTTCATTCAAACCAGTTTCCAGAGCATCATCTTATCTTTACAAATCGTTTTTGTATTTATTGATTCTTTGTACAATTCATCATCTGTTTTTAATTCTGCCAATCATCCTCCACCGATTTATGTCAAATAAATAATTTATTTCTGAACTATAACAAATACTCCAATTTATAGGAAAGTTCTAATCTGTAAGGCTTTTTCACGTCAATAATTCTTCATATTGCGTCCTGTGTATCCGACATAAACATTGCTAACATTTCATGACAGGTTTCTGAAAACAGGAAAATATTACAATAACAACAGTTATTAGGGCACTGACAACACCATGCCATGGTTAGTTCATTTAAGTATGATATTTTCATTAATCCTAAAAAAAACCAAGTAACTCGCGTGGCCTGTAATCCAATGATGTGAGCGTTGGGAATGATAAGACTTGTGACACTTGGTCTGAAGAGAAGTAAAGCCACTATGTCACAGGTGTCGGACTATTTAATCGACCGATAAATCATGGTTAGATATGTTCCTGCTTTCCGTTTCTCGGCTAATCTGTCGTATTAAAAAATCATTTTGGAAAATATCGAGTTACATTATGTTTGAAGTTTGTTTGAACTTGAAGCAATTTGCAAACTCTGTCCCCTAAAAAAATTTATTTCCTTCACTGAAAAGTCTGCTTTAATTGTCCTACCTTTTTCTATTCAACATCAAGATTTAACAGTATATAAATTTGTTAGGCTACACCTAGAACTTGGTAGAACAGCCGCTATGTAAACTTAATCCGTTTTGAAAGATTTAATCTCTCTCTCTCTATATATATATATAGAAATACGTATTGATCACAAATTTTCTCCACCATCAATACAAAGTAGAATTGAAATCTCTTGATGATCTGACACACGGCAGTCAATAATAGGTGTGGTATACTGACACACATAATATATAGATTCTTATTAACAAGCATCACAAGTTTATTTATTCACCTTACATCGTGATACATATAACTGTATTGCTTTAGAAGTTCTATCCACTTTAAATATGGCACCAGACTAGCTGTTAAACATACGATCGATGCCACAGAACCTTAAAAGGGATAACCATGCTCACTGTGTAAGAAGAACCAAGGAATATGTTATTTTCCCGAAGATTGTTTAACGATAAGAAGAACAGGATAGATCACTATAATTTATGTCCTTCAAGATTCAATACTATGTATCCAAGCCAGTATAGAACCTCCAGCATAATATGAACAATTTATACTGTACGTTCTTTATTTTCATACCGTCTGATTGTTCATGTTAACTGATATAGATTATTATTATATTCAAGTCAGACACCATAAAATGTAACAATAACAAAAAAACAATCGATACCCTATGAACGACTAGAGCATAACATTTTCACATCTGGCAGTTTGATAAATATAGATTTCTCGTTTATTTAAACTAAGAACACAATGTCCAGTACATATCAGAAGCCACACTGCCCAACGCAGACCAGAAGTTATTGCATGTCCCTATTGCAAAAAATCTTACATGAAAATACCTCTAAACACAAAAACGAAACAGATAATGTTTAATTATGTGAAGTCCTCAAACCAAGCGTACTGGGTAGCAGACAGACGTCACCAAACCGATGGTGGTTTCAATTCAAAAAGTACAACAAAGATTTGTTAGCTAGGTGAGCAAGCATTTTCCCGAACAACACGATAAACATCTCATTGAGACATTTTTCGTTCATTGACTGGTGTTATTTAAATATTCAAAATAACCATAGTAGTACCCCTATGCAATGACATACTTACAATAAGTTTTTTTTGCGCGAGCATTGGTTAAAAATGTGTACTACTCGTAAATTGGCAGTTAAAACGTTTATATCTCACCGATTTCTTAGCAGACTAATTTAAAATTTTGCATACATTCACATATGAAAGTACATGATTTGAATATACAGTCAAATCACTTCACATCGAAATTTATATTTTCTCTATAAGCCGCCTCCCTCCCCCGCCTACCACCCTTAAAATAGCGCACGCGTGCAAATCAATTACTGCAAATGACGTCATATTTAGAATATTTGGAGCGTCGAGGGGAGTTGATTTGGAGAATTTCAGATGTTAACTCATATCGGACACTTTCTCGATTTATTTTATAGTTTCGCAGTCTGATCAATTTGAGTGGCACCAAACTTTGAACTTTGGTCTTAATACGGCTGCTGTCTTTCTGGGCAAAGGTCCATAAACCAGTTGTGTGAGGAATATTTGGAAATAATCTATATAGATATTCATAATTTTCAGATTTTTAACATTGAAATTTGTGAATGTCACATAATGGGTTGTTAATCTAGTGTAACTACAATAATGTGGAAGCTGAATCTCTAACATCAGTCCAAAAATGGTTCAATACCGTTCAGATATGGCCAAAATTCCCCCTATATAAACATTTCCCATTGGATTCATATTATATAACCAATATTTAATCGATCGCTATGATCACCAATGATCAAAATACTGGGTGTTAGTATTAATAATAATTACAAAAATAAGATTACCGGTTTGGATGAGTTACCATGGTAATTATACAAACCCCATTTCCATACTAAAGTATATAGAGTGACATTTACAGCTCAACATCGACAATCTTGTACTTTCCCTATCAGTAGAAGGCTTTTTAGAATGACGGAAACGACCATGTGCTAACACCCTCTTCACACAGCACAGGATATCATATAAAGAAATATATATATATAATTTATTATGCTCTTACTGGTAACAGTTTTATTAACGAACTAATCCATTTTTATACGCCCATTTTTTCATGCGGATGTATATTGTCGTCGCCCCCTGTCCGTCCAAACGTCCACAATTTGATTGTGGGCACTCTACAGGTCCCGATTTTTATCCGATTTTGAGGAAACTTGAAATAGGTTTATCTCCAAAAGACCTCGGTTCCTTTTAGTATTGGCATTTATCGGACTGACTGTAACTTCATGGATTGTGGACCCTGACTGTACGACAAATCACGTTTTTAGCTTGTGGGCATTCTAGAGGTCACAAATTTTATCCGATTTTGATTTACCTTAAAATACATGTCTATATCCTAAAGATCTCGGTTCCTGTCGATATTCGCGCATATTGGACCGTCACTTTCTGGATTATGGCCCCTGATTGTACGAAAAATTGCCCCCACCCTTTTTTAGCTTGTTCTCTGTTCATCTTATGCAAAATGTGACAACCGCTTGTTCTTTCTACTAATCATATTGATTTACAGGAATAAATATACATCTGCATGTATACACTTTATGGTTTAATTCGAATATTGTAGAGTGCTACAGTAAGTGTCGCCCATTAATAACATGGTCCCTTAAAAAGGGGCATTATGGAAGATTAGATAAAGACCTAGCAATTCTCACTATAATAGTTAAAAACTAGATAATGTAAAGGGAATATCCTGAAAATTTCAGTCAAACTGCTCCACTCTGAACCGAGATATTAGCGATTAAATTTTAGGCCTAGTCTCGGTCAACATTAATAAAGTTGATACGATAAAAACATAGTCTCGATTATCCATTTTTGGATTTAATTATCAATGAGCGTTGATCAGCAGATCGGATTCAAATCCAGTGAAAATCCGACAATTAAGATGGCATCGAGAGTTAATTAAGGTCTTTTCATGTTAATAAATGTCTAATTAATAGTTTTTATAAACCTATAACGGTAAATCCCTTTGATCTTTGGGGTATATTCTATGCCCGGAATAACTTGCTGTCTGAATATATAGAGTGGAATTTGGGATTATTCTTCTAAAAGTTTTTCTTTAAACCTGTAACAGGTAATTCTTCCAGGGTAGGTTTTTTTCCATATAAGAAAACATGATATAAGGTTTTTCTTACGGGAATTCTGGGATATTCTCATTTTACGCACATCTAAACATAGACGGTTTATAAGCAAGATAAAGTCCTCGTGCTTTATCCTACACATATAACATTTCAGCCCCAAAGAAAGACCTGCAATAGACAGAATTAGCTCTTGCATAATATATGTTTAAATTAGTATTAAATTAGACCTAATAATGCAATTCGCGATATAATGATTTCCAAAACAGTGCCAATTTTACACCGTATGTTGCGTGGCAAACGTGTTTGCTTACTCCAGTGTATATGGTTTTGTAAAATATCAATGTATCTACACTGGCGTTAATTTTATTAAGACCTCATGTATAACTGATGTATATTATCGTGTATAATATTTTAATTAATTATCCTTCACACCTCAAGTATGAATTATTTTTAGCGTGCTTAAACGTATGGTCCAAAATATTATCCTGTACTATATCCGAATATAGTATATCGGTTTACACCACACTCTAAAGGTAAGGAGTGGTACTGGAAATGGCAATTTATTATTTTTATCTGTGTAACACTAAATTGATGAATTGTAACATTAAGCATCCAATAAATTTTAATCACAATTAGTTGATTTTGAAAGCAATCTATGTAATATCCTTGAAACTGAAGTGGAAGAATATTGATGTCATGATTAACGGTACAAAATATGAGGAAATCTTTATAATTTAGTACAATTAGATCGACACAAATAGACATCATATCGCTTTTCAATATGAAAAAAATGTATAGATGAACATAGTAATAAAACGAGACATTAATTTTTGTGCGACTGCGACGCAGGCATACCACCAACCATATTTAAGTAATGTAATGAACTATAAAATATAGTAAATATATACGGGTTGACGGTCACATTAATGGATGCTATGCAATACTACAACACAGATATATTGGCAATGTCAACACCTTAAATCAGAAGCAGTATCGGGTGGCATAGAAAGACAATGCCTACCATACCTTGTTCATGAAACCCGTCACTACTTATAGCTATTTGGAACAATGGCTGAAACCTGGATTTCAGGACCCATATGCATCTATATAGGTAAAAAATATCCCCGTAGAGTCGGTTGTCCACGGAGATTAAATACAGACGTACAAAAAATTGTTATAATCGAATGTTTCTTCAAAAGTTGTTGCTCTGTCTTGTAGGTGTGGTGATGAGAAACATCAAGGGAACATACTATTTATACTCTTCAAGAACTCCCGGTGGAATTCTTCAAAATTTTATAAGAATGCTGGTTAGGGGCAGTACCGAACTCTAGGGGTCTCCAGTCGAAGTGCATAATACTATTCATTTCTGTAATTTTCCTTGCACCCCCTTTCAAAATAATACTGCCCTAAGCCGATAACAGATTTTGATATTCTTATAGCAGATTTTTCTACATCTTTTTAGTATTTGATGATTGCAGTTTCTTTTTTTTTCTTAATACAATATGAT